ACTAGTAGGTCAGGGATAATCAGATTATGAGAACATAAGAATTTAGCTAAAGGGAAAATGATTAACCCTGAAAAGATAAGTAATTTAGAAAAAAGCTCAGCTATTGCACTCCACGCAATAACAAACAACCACACAATAGGGTGCGATAGGGTTAAAATTTTAAAACGTAATATAGGTAGGTGGAAAGAGAGGTTGATTACTGACTCCTGCCTGGTTCATCGAGTCTACACCCAACACATGCAACAGAAGTGACTCAATGCAAATACCAGAAATATGGAAGATATTATTACCGCCAGTCAAATCAGAAGAAGATGATAAATAGTCTTAAAATTCTATTTCCATTCAAGCACATCATAACATTCTAACAATTAACTTATTATGACTATAAAAACACTCGTCGTCATTCCCATCTAATTGCAATGGATTAATAACACTCGTACTATTATTTCTGAATGTACATTATCTCATATTGAATTTTATTCCAATATCTAGTCGATTCCACACATGTATATAAATGAAGGAAAGAAGTTGTGTGAGTAACTTGATATGATTATGAGCAATAGTTTGTGCTCGAAACGTCATCAGTTAATATAACTGTACAACACTGTGTGATTTATCAAAATAAAATCTTATCTATAATGGATTTAAGGATAGGGATCCGAATTACTGGTTGAATTGGTCAGTTGTTTTTTGTTTGGGGACTATTTCATTACATAGCGAACTGATTGTTAGTGCCGAAATTTCATATCTGAAGATAGTGTGATTGTGGTGAGAGCTGTCTGTTAGCCAAAACTGCAAGCAACAATTGACGTCAATGTTTATGTCCCGAATCGGGGTCATGAGAAAATAAAAACAATAATAAAACTTTACCTTGGGGAACCAAGCTACCAATCATAGCAGACATAGCGTGTGCAAATGCGATTCGCAGATACATGGCTTAACTTTCTAAGAAACGTTCACAAGCAGTACGGAATAACCTTTAGCAAAAAAAACAACCAATCAGAAGGCGCTTCTTCCCTGCTGACAATAATGTATATAAAAATCTATAAGTATCTGTTGTCGAGCCTTTAGAACAGAATTCGAATCTATAGCCGAAGCTATGGGAATTTGAGAGAACAATCCTACTGTCTGCATACAAAAGAAGTTTGTTTTACCTTTGTCTCTCTCTTGGCCTAGGTAAATTCTAATCAGAACCCTCCCACTCTTTCTTATCTTCCATCTCCTTCGTAGTTTTATGAAATTTATACTGAGAATTCCATTCTGTATTATAAGTACTGTTTTTGGAATAAAGTAAATTATTATTATTATTAAAACTCTGATTATCTGTCCACTTCACCTTTTAAGATTTGGCCGAATTTATTTATTTATCGAATTCTCTACATATACACACATATTACTACCTTCGTTATTCTTATCGCCACCTACATAAACCTTCTTATCATTATAATAATCGTTACTACTGAAGTTCAAAACATTTGCCACATTATTATTATTGTTATTATTATTACTGTTATTATTTGATCCACAAACCATTATTGGTTGAAATTTTTACATATAAATCTATGTAAATTAGAGTAAAGTCTGAAGAAGATCCTAATTGTTCGCTTGTATTTATTGATCTACCCAATTATTCAAGAATGGATTTTCATCTCAACAGTTCTCTGCTAATATAATGTTGATCAGAAGGTTAAGTGATGTTAAAATCGAATATCTATAATCGTGAGATAAAAGTTAGCCAGTCCATAGTTTACAGCAATCAGTTAGATCTTCGCACACATCAGGTCACCACTTTCCTTTCTTCTTTCTTCAAACAGTGATCAGGACCAAAACAGTGACGTCACTTCATGAAACCGTTGATCTTTGCTAATAAGTAGCAACTAACCAGTAAATGTATTTCACAAAATTATTCAGCCTTGGTGTGTAGAGAAAAAAGGGAAGGAATACTAATATGACGTGATGCACACTGATAGGAAGCGGTCAACAGTTGAAATCGATATTTTGGGTCAATGGCTGTAGAGGTAGAAGTGTTTATTCTTCAAATTTGAAGATAGAATTAAGTTGTGGGCATGAAGTAACCCCATTGGACAACTTGTTTAGCCTTGAACCAAATTCCAGCCAATCAGAACAATTTATTCTCCTCTAGTCTAGACGAACTTTAATTTAGCTAAGAATGTATAAGTGTGATGTGTTTTTTCTTAATAGAAAGGTACGTTACCAATTCATTTACCTTCAGTCGATGCAATAATACCTGAACTCTTGTGAGCATATGGCGTTACTCTCTGTTACCATGTCGGTAGACTGTGATTTGTTGATGATAATTGAGTCATCGACAATTCATAACTTAATATATGCAATTATATACACTGGTATTTTCTAACTTTTCTGATAACTTAAATATTTTGTCTTATCATTATTATTATAATATTATTCCCTTGCGTTCCGAGTGGAACACAGGGCTTCAACAACACAGCTCCACTTTGTTCTGATTTGTGCCGTCCCCTTCAGCTGCGTCCACGATTGCTTATAATCTCTGATCTCCTCCTCACACGATCTCCTCCAAACTGGTTTCAGGTTGATTACCTTTCCTATTCAGGCGGTCTTTGACATCCTCATCCGTTCCACATGTGGTTGAAATCGTGCTTCCTATATGGGTGAAGGTAATAGGTAACCTCTGTTAAATCTGTCCCGTTGGTGGTGATTGGTGCTGGTTTTTTTTGTTGCTGTTTACTGGTTATCTTCACCACATCCGTCTTCTCTGTGTTCACCTGCAGTCTTGTTTTCGCTTGCAGGTTTTCAAGTTTGTGTGACATTAAACATAAATATCCCCGCGCGAAATCCAGATCTTCTAGAGTTTTCTTATCTGTCATCCAGCGTATTCCTGACTCCTCGCTCCTATGCACAATCTGACGCATAATCCAGTCCACCAGAATTAGGAATATCATCGGTGATAATAAGCAGCCAGCTTGTCTTACTCCTGTATGCACTTCGAACGCCTCGTTGAGTTTTCCGTTGGGGATCGCCTGATAAGGACTCCAGTACTGCACGCCGTAGTGTTGAAACAGTTTCCAAATTACTTCTCGGTCAAAACTGTCAGCCGAAGGCCATTTTGAATTCGATGAAGGTGACGTAGGGGTTTGACTGCCATTCTATGCTTTGTTCTGTGATGATGATACGTAGAGTTGCAATTTGATCATATTCACTTGGAGTCCTGTTTTCTCTGCCTTTTGTCTTATTATAACTTATGATAAATTATGCACATATGAAGTGGAGTGTTTCATTTACTTATCACAGCCTCTTATTCTTCCAATATTAGGTCGAAATAATGTAGACGGAATATAAAATGGAAAAAGACTACTTACTCTAAAAGATGGGTAGTGCAGTGTATACTACTGATGACAGTAGATAAAAGCAGTATACGCTGGGAAATTTGTCAGGGAGCCACTCATGACACAAAGTTGTAATTCTGAAAAAAGTGTTTAAATGATAAGGAAATCTACAGAGTTTTTGTTCAGGGAAGAAATACGGTTTTTTTCAACAACTTCATTTTCAAGCCAACTGTACTGTCGTATTTATATTACGGAAAAAGGAGGCATTAACTGGCGCTAGAAATTGCTCAGTTAATATTGCACGTATGATAAGAAGGAACATAATTTAAATGAGGTACTAAGGGGGTAAAATTGAAGTGGATGAATTACTAAACTCTTAAAGATTATTAAATAAGTGAATTGGTATAAAGATTTAAAAAAATAATAGTTCAAGAGTTGTCTAAAAAATTAACAGTACGATGATGATAACAATAAAGAAGGCAGTGATGCAGTGAAAAGGAATGAATTCAAGTGGTAAAATAAAAATAAAATAAAAGAACATAACTATGACTAAGATAAAGAAAGGGGTTTTACAAAACGCTTTTAAACACATAATTTAGGTTTCTGTTCATGTATAGATACATCTTCGTCTGCCTATGTATAACGGGAGAAAACGTAAGCTTTTGGAGTGATTGGATTCAGCCCTGTAAATAACTTTGAAGGATAAATCACTTGGGGCTGAATAACGTGACTCTAGATGGTGTTCACAGAATGAAAACTTCGTCGTCATATGCTCACCTTTCGTTAACCAAACTGGGTGATAGTGTTCAACTAGGCGTTTATGGAGAACACACTCACAATGTCCTATGTAATCAGCTCCACACGAACATGTGAATGAATATATGTACACACAAACGACATAGGCGATAGTTTATCATTGACGCATTGTCGAATCATATTTCGGCTGGTAGATACTAAATGTAAGTCAACTGCATGAAGACAGCGTTCAATACACTTAGAAAAACGACTTTTAATTACTTCAGAAATAGTTTCACCTTTGAATGCCAAACTCATAAACAGTGTCTTCTTTGGCCCAGTGATGTGGCTGGGGATGGTTTCTTTCTTGATGTTTGTGTCGATAAACCTTCTAGGACATCAATTATTTAAAAGAGTTCTCCGAAGGCTTTCTATTTCTATGTCGGCCATATCTACAAAGCAAATTTTCCGAATTCTGAAGCATAGAGAACGGATAATATTTTTCTTCCTGTCTAGATGTTGAAGTTAGTATATTGACCTGTAGATGGTGGCTTTCAGTAAATCGACCTTTTCAACATTCCATCATCTTTTCTATCTAGCCTCACATCTAAGAAGTGAAATGAGGAATTCGATTCTTCTTTGATGGGTGAGAACCACTAAATATTCCGAGAAGCTCAGAAGTTGAACACTTGTCACCATAAATAATAAAGGTGTCATCAATATATCGCCTATACATTTGCAGAATGGAGATTGTTTCTTTCAGTGGTCCACTTCACTAAGCTCACCACGAAGACATCCTCTAGAGGAGGTCTTAATGAAGACCTCATAGTGAATCCACCCCATTTGACTACAGATGTGACATCGTTAAATCTAAACTGCACATTAAGCGTGCATCTCAATAAAAGCTGCTTTAGATAATTAGTTGGCACTCCAATATTTATGCTATTACTAAATGCATGTTTTTTAATATTTCAACCAGGTTTTAACATAACTAACTTGTGTACAACAAAAGATAATGAGGCTTGTCTATCAGTTAGTCGTGTCAATGCTGTTAATCGATTACGTCAAATGAATTGGATAACAGATGAAATATTATCGATGCATAAAACACCTTTACAGTTGTTAAAAGAATTAATTCATATTCAACGTTCAAAACTACAACAATCTGATGAATTCCATCTTTCTGAAATTCCATCAAATGATGAAGCAGTACAAAGTGAATTGGCTGAATTTCATGAAAGAGTGAGTGTTATTACTCTATGAATTCTTTTGAGTTACATTTTTGCTTATTAAAACAGGTTTGAATAAATAGTCAATAAAGAATGAAAATCAATCGATAGGCTGGCTAGGAGACGTCCTAAGGATGCTGAGCTACTGTTTTCTTTGTCGAGCAATGTTAGCATAACATAGGATTAATCTGGAAAAGAATTAGGGGAGGGGAGAGGCAAATCATGACCAATCCGGTACTGACAGGTTTTCCATTGGTTCTCTAACTGATATCAGCTCATGATGAAATCCTCTAAGTCTTTGATTGTTGGTCCAAGCCACATAAAGATGTGTTGAGCCTCTGGGGATGCTAAGGATCAACAACTTGGAATTGTTGGTAGTGTGAATCAGAATCCTTTTCGTTGACTCTGACGCGTTTACAGTGTATGAACGCCATCATATTCTTATTATTCTCCGCTTAGTTAATGTTTACCAAGTGTTTGTTTGCAGGGATTTCGTTGGTTACAGCTTTGATAATGAGTACTGAACGGCTGTTTCGTCCTAGTTTTTGACTCTTCATCAGAGCTTAGCCACCGGATTTAGAATCCCAGATCTTCTGGTTAGAAAGCTCGTTCGTAGACCATTCAGACACTGGTAATCAATCTAACAATACACGAATTCCTACTTCTGTCACTTCCATATATATGTATATATTGTTAGTATTAGATGGTTGGAAGCAATCTGCAGGAAGCTTAGCCTTAGACCTAGGTTTCGTGCTAGTTGGCGCTCATCATCAGGGAGTATCTTCAGCCTCGAAGGAACTCATGTACCTTCTGAGATTCGAACCCACGTCACCCAGTGAGTGCTGCAGTCAGGGACGTTACTACTGAGCTATTTAGGCTCGCGATTGACCTCCTGTAGTATTGTATTGGACATTTTCGATTGCGCACTAGTCAGTAACTAGTTTAATATGTCTAGTCCTATCTTCTTCTACCCTATATATATGTATATATATATATATCGCAACCTCCAGCCAATGTTGTAGGCCAATAACTGATTCGGTGGATACTTCTGGTTACTATCAGGTCGTCTAATTTTCCTCTAGTTGGTGACACCTCCTGACCAAACCTGTAATCAATCAAATCCCTGCAAACCAATGCTTGATAGATAATTAATTTGATGCTCACTAATGATTGGCCCTACAAATTAAGCTACCTAGAGTTCTAGTGATAAGTTGTCACCAGCGGAGTCCACCAAATCGAGCAAGAGATTAGCTAGTATTTCTCCTGTACAAAGTGAGGAGGTTATTTATTTCTTCAGGATAAAAATAGGCTAACGTCCAGAGAATACAGCTGTTAACATAGTTATTTTATAGTGACCAATAATTTACAAGGTTTGACACTATGGCAACTGTCTTCTGATTGGTTAGTAGGGTGTCAACCAATCAAAATTCAACGGAAGATTCTGTGTTCCTGGTTTAGATCGAATGTTTAGTGCAAAGCTGAGAGCGGGACTACATACGAATACAATGTCTTCTTTACTTCTTGTTAAAGTATAGTACATTCTGAGTACACTGCAGAACACCAAACGTATATTTAATCATTGTAGACTGGTTCAATGATTTGCTTGATATTGAAACATTGAATAGTTGATTTTTTTTGTAGCGCTTTTTTGTTGTTTAAAACGATTCACATGCAGACTAAATAGAGCATAACTGATTACGTAAATTCTACCTTAATAAAAATAATGTATTTGATAAATTAGACTTATAAGACTTTCCACAAGATAGAAAATCAATACAGATGTAGATGAAATAAACAAAAATACAGAAAGGTGAGGTGACGAATAGTTTTTAACAATCAAGCAATTATTTAAATGTACACTGCCTTATAGATTGATCCTTCGTTTAACATGATTGGTATGAGGGTACTCGCACTAATGATCAGCATCTAAGCTTATCACCTGCATATGAGACTGTAATTGAATAAATACGTTAAAAGTGACTGGTTGGTTTAATCCTTTGAATAAACGGTATTATTATTCTCTTGTGTTTTGTGAGTGGAACATAGCACTTTAGCAGGACGTCTGAATTTCAGTTTAACTTCTGTTTTGGTTGGCCTGACGAATGCTGACAAGCTTTCATCTCCTCATTACACACGATCTCCTTCATAAAAAAACTTGAACTGACAACTTTCATTCGGATCCCACTCTAGCGCCTGGCGTTTGATGTCATTCAGTGGTCTCTCCAAAATATTATCGAAGTACATCTCCGTTTCCTGTTGTAAGGCGAAAGGTTCCTTGCTGATTTGGTACCGGAGTTACCTTTTGCTTGTCCTTTCTGATTATATGATCTTCATTCCAGATATTCTAGAGTTGTTTTTTATTGTCGGTCCAACGTATGTACATCTTCGTCGTTCTCCACGGTTTGTTGCATGATCTTGTTCATCACAATAAGGAATATCATTATAGTTGGTTTGTAAGGATTAGTTTTGCTTTTACAAGTTGATCACGGATAGATATTAGTTAGAGAACCATTGAAAACCAGGGAGTACTGGACAGCTGTTTCATTCCGCTACTGTGGGAATCATTGGCACTACGCCCATTATCCCCATTCCTATTCAATTTCATCATAGATGTACTAATGGACTTAACCCTAACTCACTTCAGCGACTCAGGGATTGACTTGCTACCAGGGAAGAATCTCGTTGACTTAGAATATGCGGACGATATAGTCCTTCTAGGCGAGGACTCTGACAAAATGCAGAGTCTACTGAACACCCTGAGCAACAACCTCCGCATGTTTGGCATGCGATTCGCCCCTATAAAATGTAAGATGATGCTGCAGGATTGGACTTCATCGACCCCTAGATTAGAAATAGGAAGTGAAGTGGTAGAACACGTTGACCGCTTCACTTACTTGGGAAGTACCATCAGCCCCAACGGGTTGATCTCAGACGAAATTTCAGCACGAATACAGAGGGCTAGGTTCACATTCGCCAGTTTTCGCCGTCTCTGGCGTAGACGCGATATCCGACTGTCGACCAAAGGGCGTGTGTACTGCTCAACAGTCCGCTCCGTCCTCCTTTATGGCTGTGAGACCTGGCCATTGAGAGCAGAAGACATGAAAAGATTAGCTGTCTTCGATCATAGGTGTCTGCGTTCTATCTCCCGCGTGAAGTGGAATAATAAGGTGAGCAATATTGAGGTTAGGCGTCGAGTGCTAGGTAAGGCGGGGAAATCAATCGACGAGACTGGGAAATTGCATCGACTGAGATGGTTAGGACATGTGCTACGTATGCCTAGTCATCGCCTTCCTCGACGGGCAATGTTAGCTGATATAGGGTCAGGCTGGAAAAGAGCTAGCGGCGGTCAAACCAAAACATGGCACCAATCAATGAAATCCACAACAGTTAATCTAAGCCACGTAGGAAGATGTAGACTTCCTGGTTGGGGCCCTCGGGATGGTAAAAACCAATGGTTGGAAACAATTGGCGACATGGCTCAAAATCGTTCTCAGTGGCGCAGATGCATCCACTCCTTGTGACTTATCATTTCCAGTTAAACTGTTTTGTTCTCCGTTATTACTATTCCTTTGTCTCACACCTCTGTTTACTGTCTATATTTTGCATTTCTTCTACTTCCTTCTCTTGCTTTGCGTGCTACATGGATTGTGGCGACTTGAACTGCCGCACATATGTGCAAAGTTCTATGTCGAAAACAGACAGACAGACAGAGACAATGGTTCTCTAACTGATATCAATCCGTGATCAACTCGTAAAATATCATTGTAAATTATTTAAAGTAATCTCAGAGTGTTTAAGAATAAATCAAAAACAAGATTTTTCTGAATGTTTCGTGGTGAAGGCCACCACAGCTTCTTCAGCATCAGAATTGTCCGGATTTTTATTAATCGTCAGAATATATAGTCGAAAAATCACATAAATTGAAATGACTTCATTTGAAGCTCACGTATCGGTAGACATTTGTTCCAATAGAAAAATGCGTCGAAAATCATCATGTATCTGTAATAACTCATGTCAAATTGTCATATGTGAACATTTGTCTGTAAGAGTGTGTGTGTGTATGTTGTTTGCTATGTGGAAAACACGTGAAAACATGATAATATTTTTATAGAGGATTGTTTTGCTTCATTAGAGTCTGCCATATAGGTGATGAGTCTATCCCACCTCTCTTGTTTATTGCATTCTATGTGGTTAAATTGTACAAGGCTCCTTTCTTTATGTGAATAAAAGCCTTTTCCTAGAATTTTGAAATCGATCTTATCATTGCTGTCTGTAGCATGCATCGCTTTAGCTGATATTTTTTCTAGACTCCTTAATTCTAATTTATTTCTAGACGGACGTTTAGTAGACAGCCTGTGTTCATTCACTCTGACTTTCACCTGTCTACTGCTTTACCCTATACATATCAAGCTTCATATTCTGAACACTTTATCCTATTGACACAGTTGTTTTGTGTCATTTTTGGAAACATGTCTCTGACATTCACTGAAGCTTTCTCTGAAGGAATATCAGTGTTGATAGTAGATAGACTTGTCTTCCTCCTCTCTTCACTTCATTGGCTTCACGGAACCTTCCGTTGTGATTCACTTGTGGTGGGTAGCACCAACATATACCTATTGAATGTGTCTGATAAATGTTTGGCGAACTCCGTAATGTCAAAGTACTCTTTATTATTATTATTATCTCATTTAGATCCTAGAGGAACATAAGGCTTCAGCTGCACGTCTCCATTGCGTTCGGTTCTCCGCCAACCCTGTTCACCTGGCTCCACGTTTGCCCATATGCTTTCATCTCCTCTTCACATCACCTCCTCCATGTCACCCTCGCACTGACGACCAACTCTCCACTTCCCGTTCGGGTTCCACTCGAGCGATTGCCTGGCGTAAGATGTCGCTCAATTGATGGTTCGTTTTCTCAGATTATAACCAATCCACCTCCATTTCTTCCAGCTTATTTGCTGCACAATTGGTTCCTGCTGGGTTGGTTTGATCCCAGAGATCCCTCACTATTGCTGATGTTTTCTGTCCATCTGATCTTGAATGGTATTGAGCGAAGACAGCTGTTGATGAAGGTGTGTAGTTTGTTCGAAGTGCCCTTCATGACGCGGTGCCAAGTCTCCGATCCGTATATGAGCACTGATTTCATACTGGAGTTGAAAATCGGGATCTTATTTTTCATGCTGAGTGCTGTTGATCACCCCACACACTTGATGAGGGCAGTGAAAGCTTGCCTTGCTTTCTCAAACCTCGTGCTTTGAAATCCTCATCAGTTCCGTCCGCCTGTAGTTGAAACGATGCTTCCCAGGTAGATAGGTAAGTATGTATGTAAACGAGGTTGCTTCTTTCAGATTTCTCCCATTTATGCTGGCTGATTGTTGTCTGTTGTTGTTGCTGTGGCTGTTGGTGTTAGCCAGGAATCTTCATCACCTCTGTTTTCTCTATGTTCACCTGAAGTCCTATCTTCTCTGGATGCTTCTTCTGCCAACTTGTTGCTTTTCACTTGCATATCTTCCAGTGTGTGGGAAATCAGACATATATCATCGGCGAAGTCGAGATCCTCCAAGTTTTTGTAATAACAAGATACAAAACAGAGCTGTCGTTTTCTAGCTGACTGAAATTTCTGAACGAAATTACATGAATTGTAAGAAATCTCTTCTGATGACAAAAGGCCTTCACAATTCATCTATTGATTTATTATAAATAGTACAGAATTTAACATTATTATTCTGATTTTCGTTTTGTCACTTAATTATCTAACTTACTCATCAACTGGTCCTACTTAAACAATACAGTTAAGTCAATTAATTCAAAACAATATTGATTCAATCAAGCAATTCAATGAAAATACCACAATTGAGATTTACAATGATCTTACAGATACCTGGTCAACATTGAAATCTAATCAAATGAACTTAATTATCATCCGTTATGATGAATATAACACCACTGGGGAGGCTATACATCCGACAGATGACAATATCTGTAGAAATAAACATCAGATTCTTTTGAATATATTGAATAAAATAAGAAAACATGAGTAAGTTAACTGCCGATGTATTTGTTTGAAAGTTATCAACGCGTGTGTGTTGCTGAAGAGGTTGAAACAAGGACGAAACGAATTTTAAATACTTATCATATCTAGACTCAAAAATTACGAATTTTAATACTCAACTTGCAGATTTTGGGAATCTGAGAAGATTATGTATCTGTCTATCTACCTCACTAACTAACTCACTGGAGTAATGTGGAGTCAACTGCAAATGTCTTATATTTCTTGTTGTCATTACATATTTAGTGATAAGAGAGATACTTAAATGAAGTAGCCTATTCAAGGCTTTCATAAAATATTGATTACTGCCAATCAACCTAATGGATGACGCCGAAAGTAATCAACATTTGCTGTTGGATGAGGGGAAGGGGAGTAGAACATGAGTGATGATTGATTTTTCCATTTATCTAATATGGGGACAAGTTCATCTGTAAGAGGCGCCTAAGCTAAGCTTTATCTTTGTTAGTATCTGTCGTCGTAGCAAGTCTCAAAACTAAGGTAATACCTACAGTAATTGACAATAAAAACAAGTTTATTTTTGGATTCATATGGACTGTTACCAAGATATGACCTAACTGACCCAAAATAATTGGTAGCCAGGTAACAAGTAGACATGCGTAAAAATTATATTTGTAAAATCTCAATGAAATTGAAATGAGTAATTCTAATGTTTAGTTCAGCAAAGCATTAGACTTGACGTTAGACAGAATACATTTCCCACAGTTCTATACTGCATTAGCAACAGAATCCTATGTATATTTGAACATTCTATTTCATGTCGTTTGATGTAAACCGAAATCACACGCTCGGTGATTGGATAAAGAATATAAACTGTAAATATATAAACAGCGGTCTGATTAATGAAAAATATACCTCAGCTTCTGTGACTCGACGTCTGTTGTTACAATGTTAGTGCTATCAATCAAATACAATCAGATGGGAAATAAGACGAGTGTTTTTATCGTAAAATAAATAAATAACTTATTAGAATGTTATGATGTACGTGAATTGAAAGAGAATTTTAAGATTATTTATTTTCCTCCTCTGATTTGACTGACTCGTGGTAATAATATCTTCCATATCTCTGATATTTGCGTTGAGTCACTTCTATTGCATGTGTTCTGCTGGTTGTAGACTCGATGAATCAGGAAGTATTCAGTAATTAATCCTTCTCTCCACCTACCTATATTCCTTTTTAGAATTTTGACTCTATCCCACCCAACCTATTGTGTGGTTGTATGTTAATGTATGCAGTGCTATAGCTGAGTTTTTTTCTAAACTGCTTATCATCATGGGAACAGTCATTCTAACCTTAGCTGAATTCTTACGTTGTGATAATCTCACCACTTCTGATCTACTAGTTTGACTGACCTATGTAGTTGACCTCACTCCCAATCATTGCAAGGTATTTTGTAAATTATATTATTTTGTTTAATTCTGTGATTTGCTTCAGTTCAATTTATAATGGTAATAATCAACTGTGATGATAATGATTTGATTTTGATCTGAAACATGTAATGTTGTATTTACACTAAACATTTAGGACATTCTGGTCACACATACGCACATACATGAGTACTTGTAATACATACTTATGCAGAAGGCAAGAGAGCATGAATTATTACAATACAGATGAAGGTCACAAATAAGAGGTAGGAAGATGATGTAAGGGTGAGCTTTTGAGCTTACCTTGGTTATCCAGTTTAGAACGAAGGTTGAATTTAATTCAATGGATTGAATTGATTAACTGATAAGACCCGTCGCACAAGAGATGGTTCTCGTGGCTCAAATGGTCTAGTGGATAACGCCTTGGCGTTTGAAGCTCTGGGCACCGGGGCACTGGGAACACTCATCATCACTCACCAGGGCATGCAGATACAACGAGATGACGAGTCCCAAATAGGGCTAAATGAGCATCCTGATGGATTCCGCTGCTTCTCACCATCAACCAATCGACTTCAAGGTTGAATTTATTTAATGATATTTTCACCCTCTCTCTTCGTTTTATTTTCTACTCCATACCCTTATATCATCCTCCTAACCGTTACCTGTGACCTTGACCTGTATTGTAATAATTCATACTCTCCCGTCTCCTATATAAATTTGTACGAAATATGTTTTGCAAATACAACATTACACGTTTCAGATGAATTACGTCAAGAATCATAAAGGGAACTCCTCAAAATATGGCATCCACATAACTCTGATACAGTAAATACACTAAGTGATGTGTGTTTCTCAACTCCTTTTACTATCTTTTACTTTTTACATTAAGAAGTTAAGACACCCAGGCATAACTCAACCCCTACTCCTATTACATTTTTTCGACTCTTGCATCTAACGTATTCTTCTTTATTGTTCATCCTTATTCTGTCCTGGGTTGCTTGAAAAAGACTGCTACTGTAGCAGCAGAAGGCAAGACACGGGAGCCAAGGTATATTTTTCATAATTCAAACCTCTGTTTATATATCTACAGTCTATATTGTATTCTTTAGCCAGTCACTGACCCTGTGATTTCGGTTTACATCAAACAACATGAAATCGAATGTTCAGATATACATAGTATTCTTTTGTTAGTGCAGTATAAACCGTGGGAAATGTATTCTGTCTAACATCAAATCGAATGTTCAAACAGATATATGGTATGCAGTATTGAACTGTGGGAATATTTGAGAATAACATTCCGTTTGCACCACACTACTACTACTTTGTAGAACTCTGAATACTGTCAGCAGGACGAGCAGTGGTGTCCCATATGATATAATATCTTTAACGTCTTCATTATTGATAGGCGTTTAATTTCATTCAATGAATTTGCTAAAGGGATTTAGTCGGACTGTGAGCATCCACTTTACCAGCAGCTTCCTCCTCGCACCTCCTCGGGTAGAACAAGAAGACATTCCATCAAAAGACTTTACGCCTGAAAGTCTAGGTATAAAAATTACACGATACCATATTTGACACGCATTTTATGTGATGAAAATAGTATTGGGCACGAATTAACTAACCTTCTTTCCACTAATAAGTAAACCATTTCCTCCATCCTTATGCCAACAAGTTTTACTGTGATTATTCTTATTATTTGAATAAGGCATTAAGAAGACAAATTTCGCGAGATGATAATGTCATTTCGTAGTTTCTTTACAACCGCTTTACTACCAACATGGTTAACAATAATAAAATAAAGTTCATGACAATTACTCAGTTAAATAAAAAAAACACAAAAGTACATACTAATGACCAATCATATTTAGATAGGTCAAGTAGTCCAGGGTAGGCGAAGATTGAAGTCTATTGATTTTTGTACACACAGTTTAGGCTGTATGTGATTAATCCCCAAAAGTGCTTCTATCACCTTCAATAACCTTGAATTAGAGTTGTGTGAAATAATTGTGAAACAGTCATTAATATTGATTTTGTGACCTGACATTAATAAGTGCTTTGCAATGGATGATGATGGATTTCTATTCAGATTATTAATTGCATTGGGATTTTCTATATGATTTAGTAGCCATTTTGGAACATGTTCCTTTCGACGACATTGGAACATTCTGTTGGTTCTACCTATATAGGTGTCACCGCAGCTGCAGGTGAACTTGTAGATACAGTTTGAAGTAGAGTTCACAGAATTTCGTCCTTTAATCGTAGGTACAGGAATCGAAAATGTTCGGCAAGTGAGAAAAAGAGATGCGGCGTAGAATGTGCGTTTGATGGCTGACCGAAGTTTTTGAGCTGTCAACTGCATAATCTGGTCACCCTTGAATGGAAGGTTAATAAAGATAGCTTTCTTTGGTACAGAAGCTGTCTTTTCGAGATGCGGTCTTTCTTTACTGTGACAAGTGATAAAGTTTTCCGGATACCCATTAGCTAATAAAACTGAATGTATATGTCGAAACTCATCCATCACTGTGTCACTCGTGCATATTTTTCGGGCCCTTGAGAACAAACATTTCACTAGGGAACGTTTATACTGGATGCCTTATTCAAATTTATCAAGGGGACTAATTGTTTTAATATTCTTATTATATATATTCTTTCATAATTGCAATCGCCATTTAAGCTCTGTAATAATTGCGCTTGGTTTGTCCTTCCCCTCCCCATGCTATGTCAAGAGAACATTAGATACAATACTCTGGAACATGCTAAAATATCCATCATGTATCGATAATACTGTTTGAAACAAACCTACTGTTATTACTACTATTATTAATGTTATTCTAATTATTATTCTCTTTTCATACTTTGCACATATCTGACACTATTCCTACTGAAAATGTGGAAGAGTTCCTGTGGTTAATTTTATTCATGTTTTGAGTAAATTAAATATAACAGTGTGACAAATGCTGAAAATTCCATGGCGTTTTACAAGTACTGTTTTTAGAATAAAGCAGATCATCATTATTATTACTTAATTCTTCCAGAAAAAATGCTAACTTTAGTTACAAGATTTCATCATGAGTTGACATTGGTTAGAGAACCGTTTAAAAAAAGCTGGGAGCACTGGACATTTATTTCGTCAGCCTAGTTTTGGACTCTTCAGCAGTACGCACCCACCGGGTTTCGAACCCAGGACCTTCTGATTGCAAGGTGAGCCCGTAGACCACTAAGCCCTGTAAGCAGAAAGTCCTGGGTTCGAAACCCAATCGGTGAATACTGATGAAGAATCCCAAACTAGGCTGACAAAACAGCTGTCCAGTACTCCCGGGTTTTCTAATGGTTCTCTAACTGATGTCAGCTCATGACGAAATCAATCAAATCCCTACAAACCAATGCTGACTTCTTATTTTCGCATTCTCTTCATAGATTTATTCTAGCCGCTTTGTATTTGGGTTACGTTGACAAAGTACACATCAGCCTATTCGATAATATCCAGTTGAAAAATTGTCAAAATATTAAGGTAAGTTAATCAGTTGTCTTTTAAATGCCTTATTCATATATATAAAATTAATAAAGAGTTAACAGGTGAGAAAATAGACTTAGGTCACGTTAAAAGGACGAATTGAAGGTCAGAATAACAATGAAGATCACTAAACCAAATAACAGAGGTAATTGTACATCTACCCTAGCTGGTATCAAAAAAATTTTACCTTCTGGAAGGTTTAGTGTGATGAGGAATTGTTGCTTTGAACGCATAAAGGTCGTTTAAACATTCTAATTGCCAGCTAGGGCTTCCACAAAATTTAGGATACGACTCAAACACGTCCTAAAGATAGATTTAAAAGACGTGTAAACATCAATTTTATATCTTGTCTCTATAATGTGCTTTGCAATAGAGGAGCTAGGTCTCCTGTTCTCACCATTAATGGGTTATGAGGATTCTATTTGTTTCTGGAGCCATTTAGGAATATGCTCTGAAGCCAGCCTTTACCAGCAGAGATCGATGAGTCCTCCGTATTTGTGTTTGTATGTCCACTCGTACACTCAAACTGGTAAATACAGTGGGATGTGGCATCATTTTTCGCATGTTCGAAGGGCTTAAATCGATATATTGGCTTCACATTCTTAATTATTATGATTCTAGCTGCATAAAAATGACCATAGATGGCATTCAATACGTACTGAGTAATCAAGCAAAAGTTATTCATTCCGTTTTGTAATGACATCACTTTTGCGTTGGATAAATCATTGGTATCACTTTCAGATCAGGTCAAAATATTACAAAGAGAGTGATAACCCGACACTACACATATTACTGATTATTGTAAAATGCTCAAAATTAGTGTCATTAACAGATAGCCACACGGCTATTTTACCCAATTAATATCGAACCCTCTAGAAGTGATCTGGTTTATGAATACTACCGGTGTATGTAAGAGGTAAATAGTAAACTTAAATTAGAAAAAGAGAGCCAAAACTATAGTAAGAACGTTACTGTGGCCACGGTAGAGCGAGTGAATGTATGTATTACTTTTGAATGCAAAAGTCCTGTTTGGAATTGAATTTATTATGTGAAACCCTACTAGAGATTGGGCGGCCACCAAGATTCATAGACAAAAACATAAACGAAAAGCCTCCATCGCCAAAAATCGCAACTGCTCGTAAGAAAACTCTCTTCATGAACCTGAAATTCAAAGCTGACATTAAAGCAGAAATTCTTAGAAACCGCCATCCTAGATATCTGAGGAAGACATTTCAAGCAGCCACTTCACATATCACATTCTCCAGCAGACAGTTAATCCAGGCTAACGTTAAGGATAAGTTACCGCTTTTGGCCACTTCAATGTGTATTTACCAGTTTGCTTGCTCTTGTGGAGCAAAGTCCACAAACTTACTCCGAAACATTTTCCAGCTTAGCTAGCCAGGGGAGAAAAGAAGAATACTGGCACCTCCATCCTCGAACACCGTGTTATCTCCGGACATCAAGCACCCCCGCATGAATGCTTCACAGTGCTACACACAGTCCCTGAATATCGTAAAAAGGGACTTCACATTTGCCATATGTACATAGCTGAATCATTAGCTATTTGGGATCTGAAACCGGATCTCTGCATTCAAAAGCTCTGCATACATTTACTTGCCCTACCGTGGCCATAGTAACGTTCTTACTATAATTTTGCTTCCTTTTATTATGTAAGTTTCTGGAATAAAGCAAATTATTATTATTATTGTTATAATTCTCATCACCCATATTTTATTATCACTCTACTGCTGTTTATTAATCACATTGAGTTTTCATACAGATTTAACATAAAAACACTTTATCGTCTTTCCACTAGTTCCTGTCCACTTTGCTCAATCTTAATGATTAGTTATTACCTCACACTTGTTACGTCATGCCAACTTCTGCCCTCTTTCTCAGTTTCCAATTAGTCACCCCCTCTAGGTTACACCTTTCATTAGAAAATATATTTTTCGAGGGCAGATTTTACCAGTATCTGACTGGTCTTATAATTTCTTTGTTAAATATAATTACGATTGTACAGCAGCTTAAGAAAAAGCGATCGTCGAAAAGAAAATTTTCTTCTCTGTTTATGCCTTTTTCCTTACGACTCAATATGGGAATAATAATAATAATTTGCTTTATTCCAGAAACAGTACTAGTGGTACAGTGTGGAATTTTCAGCACATATCTACAATATTTGCATCTAATTTTGTCCAATGTTTAAAAGGAGTATTTTCAAAAAATAAATATAAAGACAACAACAAAAAAAACGAAAATAAAAAAAATGCGAAAAAATTCCAAGAAGTAGAAAGGAAAATAAACAACATAAAATAATATCTCAGTATTGGATAGTGGAAGCTATGATATGAATATGCATGGTGACAGTAAAGCTATAGTCATACAAGAAGTTATGAAATGATATTTAAGAATGATTATCGCCAAGATGATCAGTTAATTTGGTTGAAACAACTCTAAACAATCATAAAATAACATATAAGGGTTGTTGTTTTGTTTTTTATTGTCAGGTCTAATACAGTGTTTGTAGTGGTAGTGTGAGTAATCCTGAATAATACAAAATTTTAAGGTGGTGATAATGGCATTCACAAACAATGATTGTCAGTTTAATATTGCCGAAAAGTATAGAAAATAAGAAAAAACAACCACAAAACTAATAATTACATGATGGTTAATGACAGGACAATTTTGTAATACTCATAGTGCTAATAGAGTCGGAACCAGTGGATACACAATAGAAGGAATATAGTAAAGTACAAAAAGGAAGCCAATGTTAATAATTTAGGTACCTAAGTATGTTTAAGAAGGAGTTCACTATAGAGTACAAAATAAGGGAGAAATAAGAGAGCCTAAAATTATGTTGTTAATAACAAAGCAAGTCATAGGTCTCGCGCTTAACATTGTCTTTGTCGCTTAGAACACGGGCCAAGGATGGTATCGTTGAGTTCCTGTACTTGGTTGTACGAGCATAAATTATTTTATACTTATTTCTGGTTCTACTTGATGAGATACAAGGCGAGAGTTCATATCTGAGAGTATAATATATCATATCCCCATTTCGAAAAAAACTATTATTTCATTCAATTTTCGATATTCCCGTCGATTGATTGAACCGAAGTCCTCGGTATCCGGTTGACATGTCTGTCGCCTTCTTGTGCTGATGCTTCAACGATATCCGGGCGTGTAATTAGAAGTTACTTGGTGGATGGTGACTAGCAATGGAATCCAGGATGAGCATTTCGAGCCTCGGTGGAAACACCATCACTGAATCACTGCTCGATGCAAGTACATCCAGCTAGTTGACGAGTCCCAAATAGGACGAGATGCGCATCCTGTTGGATTCCACTGCTAGTCATCATTCACCAATTAGCTTCTAAAAAATAATTATGGTTATATTCTATTTTCTTTGAACTGTGCACTTTATAAATAACTAGGTGTATCATGTTTGTAGTCATTGCAATACTTCAAAGACGTCAAATTCTTATATTATTAATGTCTCTTTTTTTCCCAAAATTACAGCTGAAAGAACCAGGTCAATATGCAATACTTGCTGTAATAAATCCGTACATGTTGGCCTCGTTAATGGAAATAGTAAGGTGAGGAATATATATTATCTTTCATTATTTTATTTTATCCCTTTACTTCCCAAATGAAACATAAGGCTGAAAGCTAAAGTTTTGGAATTTCGGTAACAGTGGTGTTTTCTATTTTTCATGGAGGGGAATGGTTGTTAGTGTCATGTCCCACCTTCGCTCTTTCCTGGCCTTACTTACGAGAATAGCGATGTTTAGGAGTGCATCGGTCAGGGATCAAACTCCAGACCACATGCGTGGCTGGCGGGTGTTCTACCGCTGAACCACCAACGCACAGAATTTGTGATAGAAGTGGCTGACGAACGCCTAAACCTAGCTGGCTAAGCTGACAGTAAGGCAGGTAAAGAAGGGAGGGTTTGGGCATGAAGTTAGCAATCCCATCCTGTACAAATAATCACCACTGCTAAAGAAACTTTAAGCCTCTAGCTTGAAGCCACCCTATGTTCCACTGGGAATGTAATGGAAAAAATTGTAATAAGCATAAATTAAGGTGAATACAATGCATTTATTAAATCTACTTTTTATTTCACACAGTGAAGAATTAGATACAGACAGTACAGCAAATGAAAACATGAACAATGTATACATTTCAGATGAATATCAATCGGTAAGTATGTAAGATTTGCTGTATTGAATTCAAATAGTTTCTTTATGACTTCTTAATTCATCATTTAGATTTATGAGCAAATGATCTTCTAACTTATCGCTTCCGATTTAAGTGCCACTCAAATCGAGGAGACATTCTAAAAGGCTAGTTAAAGCAACTAAATGGATGTTTTTTGAGTGTGTCGGACAATGAAGTAAACTTAGTCTTGCTATTAACTATAATGTACTAAATGGTGTGACCGATAGAATTCATTCTGCACCAACACCAAGGACTATACACATTACACCAGTTACTGACTAATGCCCAATCAAGGTATCCCATACAGTCAGTCCCACAGGAGGTCAATCGTGAGCCCGAATAGCTCTGACTGCAGCACTGTGTAACGCGGGTTCGAATCTCAGACGGGGCATGAGTGTTCCTTCAAGGTAATTGGCAATAGGCCTTTCTGACTAGTGATTGCCAACTAGCACTAAACCTAGGTTCAAGTCTTCCTGCCGATTACTTCCAACCATTTAATACCGACATTTCAAAGTGCACGGTGATATCGAGTCACCTAGTGGCATGGTAGCCACATTGCAAACTATTGGGCTGATAGAATTCAGTCTGTACCAAACAAAGGATTAGAAACATTATACTTGTTACTAACTAGTTTCCCATCAAAGTGTGATTTAAGTTTGCAAAGAGTTACAGGCTAACTAAAAGTCAGTTGTACGTTCAAGCCGTACTGAATTTGCAATTCTACGCCCTGTGCTTTCAGCATATACATATGAATCAAAATTTAAGGTACATATCCGATAAATATGTAACAGAAGTTGGAATCCATGGGCCATTGGATCGGGTCCCAGTGTCTGAATGGCATAGGAGCTCGCTCGCCTTTTAACCAAGAGGTCCTCGGTCCCAACCCCGGCAGGTGCGTACTGATGAAGAGTCTCAGACTAGAATGACACAGCTGGTTCTCTAACCGATGTTAACTCATGATGAAATCCTGTTACATTATTTTTGTTGATAATCCTAATTATTTCATTATTATGTGAATATTCTTTGTTCAATAGTCAGTTTTTTGAAGCTTCGACCGTGTCAGCCTGATTTCCAGTATAGACCACCAGATGGGCTAATATTCAGCTGCATATAGCTTTATTCGATGTTTTGCCTAAGCAACACAGGTGGTGTTCAGAAATTCGATGATGACGGTTAGGCAATAATCGTACGCCTAATTTAACTAGTTCAACAGGAGCAGTTAAATAAATAAATACACATAAATATTAATGTACAGTCATTGGAGAAGGACTAACTTAAAAAGAATATGTTACTTCCCTAAAAATAGTTTTTTTTCTCAAAATCTAGATTTAATAGGTCATGAATGTATAGTTGAGATGAAAGTGTTGACTGGAGCAGGATTCTGATATTCTGTGTAATAACAGTGTAATCCCTTCACAATATTATTGATTCGATATTATTTAAAAAACATTAATGTTGTTGTTAAAAACACTAATTCATTCATCTCAAGAAAACTACAGACCTTCATTAACAGTTGTCTTCGCTCAATACTCAAGATCAGATGGCCAGCCAGAAAAGATCAGCAACAGAGATCTCTGGGAGCGAACCAACCAGGAACCGATTGTGAAACAAATAGGCAGGAAGAAATGCAAATGGATTGGCCATACTCTGAGGAAACCATCAAGTGACATCACTAGACAAGCCATCGCTCGAGTGGAACTCGAAAGGGAAGCGGCGAGTTGGTCTTCCGAGAGTGGGGTGACTTGGAGGAGGTCATGTGAAGAGGAGATGAAAACGTGTGGGCAGACATGGAGCCAGGTGAAGACTCTAGCAGAGAACCGAACGCAATGGAGACGCACGGCTGCAGCCCTATGTTCTTCTAGGAATTAAAGGAAACAATAATAATTTATTCACTATTATGGATGGATATATAACTGTAGAACTTGATGAAGAGCAGGTTATCGAAAGTGTGAATATTCTTTGTTCAGTAATCAGTCTTTTGAAAAAATTAAGTCTATGGTAGATAAAAAAGCTTGAATTAGCCGCCTTTATCGTAACCATATATCCAATTTCTGCACAAATAGAAAGAAGGGGTCCTGCAGTGCAAAGGCGACTGTTTTGTGTAAACTTATATTCACTCTTTATAAATTATTTAAATGGAATTAATCTCAGAGTATTTAAGAAAAAAAAAATCAAAACAAGATTCTTCTGAACGTTTCGCTGTGTAAGTAGCAATTGTGCTTTTTTGCGAAGTGAAGTTTCCAGCCTCATGCCCCCACCTTCACTCTTTACCTGGCTCATTAAACGGCTAAACGAGGTTAGGGAGTGAGTCAGCTAGGGATTGAACCCCCGACGAGAGTGAGCACTATCCTCTAACACATTTAGAAAGGACACGCGAAAACAGGTAGCCAAAAACAATCAACTTCACAGAAGCAGGAATGAATGCAGTGGATATCTACACGTTATCAGTCGCACAACTGTAGCGAAGAGGATACTTTGTTTCCTTTGTAGATAATTAAATGTATCTTTGATATAGTCTCTATTTATTGCTTTCTTTAATCTTACTACCTTTTAGCCTATTGACCAGTTGTCGCCAATTCAATCATTTCTACTGCCAATATGTCGAATTACAAACGAATAACGGTAGACTTTTGGAGACATAAGACAACACCAAGAAGAACAACAACGCTGTATGCATTTAAATCAAAATGTGTGTGTGGGAATATAAATAAGAATAGAAACAAACCACCAACTGAAACAATTGTACATTGAATGTGCATAAATATGTATTACAAATAATTGATAATAATAGAGTAAAATATAAAGTTCTTCAGTTAAAATTACAAACTAAAACTTTTTGAAATACATGCAAAGAAATAAAGTAAGAAATATTGATACGTTAAAATACAAATACAAGTAAATAGGCCAAATCAGTGATCAATAAAAATCCTAATTACCTACTCTTAAGACTACTGATATTATTATTATTATTATTGTTATTATTATGCTTTTGTGAGAACAGGCGGGTGAAAGGAAGGAAGGGGAACGCCAAGGGGAACAACAGCAGCGAGAATAATAAGATATCACAGTACGGTAATCAAAGAAAAAGACAAAAAAAGGAAGTCATCAAAATCCACCATCATTGTTCACAACTAGTTATCCTTTAAGGTGGACTGATTATAGTGTCTAGGTTGATACTGAAACGTCCGTAGACAAGTGAAAATGTCGTAAAAGGTAAAAGAGGTGTAAGTTAGAAGTTAGTCAGCAATAGTAATCATCCATAAATAAAAATGTAGTGTGAACAACAAAAACAACAACGAAAGAAAAACAGAAAACGAAAAGGAATTACACAACAAATTGTTTATTCATTAAATACATTAGTGTATTCATTGCTGCGTTTAACTGAGATAAAATTTCTTGTAATCGGGGGATGACACATTCAATCTGTGAAAAAGGAAGAAAAACGGCAAGTACACAAATGAGAAACAATAAGTAGGTGCATATAGTTACAGACAAGAGTATTTATGAAACACAGATGAGTCATCCACGTATGATGAGTAGGTAGGGAGAGAGATACACGACTCATTGGTTTAAGTATCCATATTTCACTATTACGCTCTGACAACATGCTTGCTAATGGACAAAAGTTCCTTAAAATTGTACACTTTCTTATTTTATTAAATAATTCAGGTTGTACGCAGCTGATGAGAACCGACGAAGTAAAATGGATCCAGGTTATTCTGCGCCAATGTTTCTTCCTTCTTTGTTCAAATTGAGATTTTTAATTGAGTTGAAAAAGTCGAATGTTATTATGTAACAGTAAAGACGTGCGTCGGTGGCACAGTGGTTAGGACGCTCCCTGACCATGCACATAGTCCGGGGTTCAATCCCCGGCCAACAAACGCACTCCTTTACCTCGCTCGCTAAGCCAGTAATAAAGCTGGTAAAGAGGAAAGGTTAGGCATGAGGCTAGCAACTCCATCCAGTGAAAATAAACACCACTGGTACAGAAACTTCAAGCCTCCAGCTTGAAAGCGCCCTATCTTCCACTGGGAACGTGAAAGAATACAAAAACTGTAAAGACTGATGAAAATTTACCAAAATTACGTATCTACTTCATTATAGACAAGATTTTATTTTGATAAATCATACAGTGTTGTACAGTTATATTAATTGATGACGTTTCGAGCAGACTAAAAGACCCGGTGGACCCAATTAGAAAAAATGATATAATTTACAAAATACCTTGTAATAACTGTGAGTGAGGTCAACTACATAGGTCAAACTAGTAGATCGGGGGTAGTCAGATTGTCGGAACATAAGAATTTAGCTAAGTTAAGAATGGTTGACTCCGAGAAGATAAGTAATTTAGAAAAAAGCTCAGCAATTGCACTGCATGCATTAACACACACAATGACACAATATGGTGGGAGAGAGGTGGTTGATTACTGAATCCAGCCTGGTTCATCGAGTCTACACCCAACACAACACATGCAACAGAAATGACTCAATGCAAATACCAGAAATCAGAGGAGGATAATAAATAATCTTAAAATTCCATTTCAATTAAAGCACATCACAACATTCTAACAAGTTACTTATTATGACTATAAAAACTCGTCTTATTTGATCAATAACACTCATACTATTATCTCTGAATGTACATTATCTCATATTGATCTTATTCAAATGTCTAATCATCAATGTTTACTCATGTATATAAGTGAAGCCAGAAAGTTGTGTGAGTGAGTGCTTTGATATGATTATCAGTAGCAATAAACTGTGCTCGAAACGTGGTCATCAGTTAATATTACTGTATAACACACTGTGTGATTTATCAAAACAAAATCTTATCCATAATAGAGTGACAGTATACCACAGCACCCAAGTTTCATGCTTATATCAATAATACCTATCTATTTGCTTAAATGTGCGTCGGTGGCGTAGCGGTTAGGGCGCTTGCCGACCATGCACATGGTCGGGGGTTCGATCCCCGGCCGACGCACTCCTTTACCTTGCTAATCCAGTAGTAAGACTGGTAAAGAGGAAAGGTTGGGCATGAGGCTAGCAACCCCATCCTGTAAAATAAACACTGCTACAGAAACTTCAAGCCACTAGCTTGAAGCCCTGTGTTCCAATGGGAACGTGAAGGAATAAAAAAAAATTTGCTTAAATCGTGGCGTATAAATTACCATAATGAGAGTAGTATATATAATTTAAAAATAAAATCAATAACCTACACTTGAACGGTTTAACACCTCCCAACGTTTTTCCATACTATTATAGACCAAGTTGTAGGCGGCAAACACCAACGATGAACCACGTATAAACATACTTAAGACAATATCTTTTGGAATAGGCGGATGAAAGCATTTCTACAAAACAGAAAGGGATTTCATTTAAAACAACAATTAATCGCTTTTATAAATATTTGGAAAGTGTTGTTATTAGAAGACGGAGATTATCTGAAAAACTTGATGTGATGTGATGTGATGTATAGTTGCGCAACACATTTCGAAAAACAATCTCATGCCTCACATACACATCCTGGTTTTCCCATGTCTTAGCGATTTCTAAAAAGTATTTTGTCTGACTTTTTACATTAAGAAGTTAAGGCACTCAGGCATAACTCAACCCCTCCTCTTATTACAGTTTGTCAACTCGTGCATTCTACCTATTCTTCTTTACTGTTCACCCTTATTCTCTCCTTCCTGGATTGCTTAAGAAAGACTATGTCATGCTTCGTAGAACTCCGAAGACTGTCAGTCAGTAGGCCAAGTGATATCCCATTGGGCCATATCGTTGACATCGTCATTGACAGGCACTTGATATCATGCAACAAATTTGGTAAAGGAATTTTGTCAGACTGTGAGTATCCACCGGAGCACCCACAACTCCAACCTTATGTTTCCTCAGGTAAAACAAGAAGTCTTTTCAGAAGACTTTATGCACGTACGTCTAAGCATAAAAATTCCACGATACCATATTCGCACGTAGTTTATGCGATGAAAATAGTGTTAGACATGAACTAACTAACCTTCTTTGCACTACTAAGTAAACCATTTTCTCCTTCCTTATTCCATCAAGCTTTATTGTTATTGTACTTCTTATATTTATAATCCCCTCTCAATTTTTTTCATAAGTGTGAGCATCATTTAAGCTGTGTTATAACTATTAATTTTGTATTTCCCTTCACCATACTACATCAACAGAACGTTAGATCCAATAATCTATAACATGCTAAAATTTTCTAACTGAATCGACAATGCCGTTTGAAACAAAGTCACTATTATTATTATTATTTCCAATATTCTCAATTCGTGCTTCGAATATTTTTGACTTTATATCAAAAATGTGGACAAATTCCTCTGGTTAATTTTGTTTTAATTTTATTTATATTTTGAGTAAATCAGATGGAATATTGTGACAAATGCTGAGGTATTCCAGTTTGTATTATAAGTACTGTTTTCTGAATGAAGTAGATTATTATTATTGTTATTATTATCATGGAAAATAATAAAAGCCAGTTGAAATACAAACAGTGATTAAAAGGATTTAAGAATTATAAGAATAATTAACACTACGTTTGAGGATTCATAAAATCAGACAAGGATTGCCAAGGTAGGTAGATGGGTTAAGACTTAAAAATAATCTACTCAACTGATTACATTACTTTGATATACGATGATCATAAAGATGTGAGTCGTCTACTGTTACATGCGAGAAAGAAAATCGCAACCAGATTGCATATTTAGACATACTTCTGAGTCGGAGAGACGATGGCTCAATAAAGCGATCAATTTATAGAAAGTCTACTTGGACATGGCAATATTAAAATTTTCACAGCTTCTATCTACTACAGTATAAAAGGGGATTGGTGAAACTTTTGTTCAAGAGAATTCAGCGTATTTGTACAGCTGATGTTATAGAGAAGGAAAATAAAATATTGATGGATACTCTTGCTGAAAACTGGTCACCGACTCAGTTCCAAAGAAAACCGTATTCATGAACTTGGAATTCAAAGGTGTTCAAGCTTCAAATATGCTAAAAAAATCGTCTCCCTAAATCAGTCAGTAAGACGTTCTTTGCAGTAAAAAATTACATAAGACGTTTACTAGCCGCAAGTTGTTCTCTACCTCTGTAAAATATAAGCTCCCGGGTCTAGCCGCCATTATGTGCATCTATTAGTTCACCTGCTCTAATGGAGCAAGGTACATTGGCCGTAGTCAGAGGACGCTTTCCACACGGATACGAGAACATATTCCAGCAGCATGGTTTTACAAGGGAGAAAGGAAGTGTGTGCGAAGCTCTATTCTGGAACACCTGATTGACTTCTGTCACTCTGTTAACCCTGACCATGATTTTAAGATCATATACAGAATCCATGCTAACTTTCCGCGTTTTCTTCGTTGCAGACTTCTAAAGACAGCTGAGGCCTTGGCAATTCATGACTTTAAGCCAGACCTTTGTGTACAAAAGAAGTACTACTTCTGACTTGGCCGTAGAGGGATAGACATTTATTTATTTTGTTTATTTAGTTATTCTATGTACGTTTCCCTTATTACTATTCTCACTCTGAATTGTTTCCACTTGACCCACTTGACATTTTAAACCCAAAATTATTAATTTTTATTTTTACAATATTGAATTCTATCTTATCAAATTTCACACAATGTTATGTAACATTTTATATTCGCCTACTAATCCTATTATTATGCATCCCTTTCCAAAATCAATGCATCTTATGTATCATTCTACATATGACATTAATTATTTTGTCACTTGACATTTAACTATGATTATAATCACAAATATTTTAATTGCATTTCATACTATTATTATTTCATGTATTCACACGTTTGACCTAATTCCCTCACCGGATATAATTTCTTAAAATCCCATATATATACGACTGTACAGGTTGATAATAAATTCGTTGAAAAAAAAGTCTCTTCGCTGAATATTGTGTTCGTGACATTATTTTAGCCAGCGTAAGAGTCAGGTAGTTTTAAAACGTACAATCTATTCCGCCTCCTAAGAAAGATGTTTTCATTAAATTACGATACACTAATGGGGAAGTAAATAGTGGGATTTTGAGACAGAGATTAAACTCGGTCATCCTTAGAACCCATCATTCAGCCCAGTATATAATTATTGCTCATTATTACAACTATTATTATTATTCGTCATAATTTATGCCCTTCATTCAAACATTCTCTCAATACTATCGAATTTTCCATTTATACTATCCGGACTTATCATTAATAGTGATATTATCTCTTTTCTCAATATATGCCTCCACCTGTATCACTTCACACATTGGTTTTTTCATGATGACCCTCTCATCGCAGTCTTACTATCTCCTCCTATTTAGTACATACCACTTTGTACTAACCACTCACTCACCTGACACCTTTTATAACCTTGAACTGACTTGTCAACTTTTTCCTACACCACATTCTACGAATCTATTATGACGACTAATCACCATAAACATTGTCTCCCATTTCACAATATTTTGTAATCGATTTTAGCCAAGCATGTTGGTCACACAAATACGACTACTTATTTTCAACGTAAAAAAATATCCGCCACATAACTGGCTATCATTATTGTAACGACAACAAATATATTTTATAATTATAAGAACCTGAAGAGGTGAACTTACTGAAAAGAATATTCTTCGTTCAGATTGACTTTTAATTCATGATATAGGAATATTTTCACACTATTAAATTATTGAGAAAGCCAACAAGTATGCTCCACTATAAACCTCAAAAGTGCACAAGTGATTATGTTACATCTCACACTAAATATCACTTTACGTGTGTTTGTGTGTGTGAATGTGTGGATACCCATAAATAGAGAAGAGTAATCACGCTTTGTATGTCAGGGTAAGAGAGCGTATTCGGAAGTGGTTAGAAAAACAGATGAACTATGAAAAATTGATAGGCGCAGGTGGAAGACTACTAACATCTAATCGACATGAACAACAAGATTGATGTCAAAACAGCTTTCAAGGTTATTTTTAAAAACAGTCAAGGGCGCTTACGGAAACATGCTGAGGCGACAGCTATTTTCATAAACTTAAGCGCCCCCACCCCCTGTGTGTACAAAAACAATTTGTTAACTCTCTTAATCCACCTACCCTGGTAACCCTTATGTGATTTTATGTATAACCAAACATAGTATTAGTTATTCTTATAATTTTTACGAGTTTGACCAGGAATTGATATCAGTTAGAGAACGACTGAATACTGCGACCAGTGACGTACAACCAGTCAAGTGTGAGGATGGATTTCCCACCGATGACATTGACTGGTGCTAGTCGCGCTAAATGCATCACGAATAGGTATAAGTTAGAATTCATGGGCTGGTCATTGAATCGGGTCCCAGTGGCTCAATGCTATACGAGCTTGACTTGTGACCGGAAGGTCGTGGGTTCGAAACCCAGTGGGTGCGTGCTGCCAATGATTCCCAAACTAGGACGAGACAGTTGTCTGGCAGTACTCCCTGCTGGTTTTTAATGGTTCTCTAACTGATATCAATCCGTGGTCAAACTCGTAAAAACAAATCTAATCCTTACAAACCAATTATTGAAAATTCTTATTGTTGTTAAATCATTTTTGTCACTTTGTGTACTTTAATTAGCCTTTATTATTTTTCATATATAAATTGAATTCAAGTATTGGTTTGTAGGGATTTGATTGTTTACAGGATTTCATCATGAGCTGACATTGGTTAGAGAACCATTGGAAAACCAGCTAGGAGTACTGCCATACAGCTGTTTCATCCTGATTTGAGACTCTTCATCAGTACGCACCCACCAAAGGGGTTCGAACCCACGACCTTCCGGTTACAAGGCTATCTAGCTCGTATACGATTCAGCCACTGGGACCCAATCCAATGGCCCATGAATTCTAACTTCTGCCAAGTCAATGTGTGAGGGATGAGATTGTTGTTCAAAATGTATCGGGTAAATACACCAGATCACATTGTTTTCAGATAATCTCTATCTTCTAAATAACAATTAATGTCAGTTAAAAGTTTGAGCATTGTGGAATAGATCAAATAAAGTATAATTACATTTCAATGATTTATACACAATGGTACATGTAACAAGGGTGACTCAGTATAACTGTCAACAACCTGGAATATATTTAATTCAATTTTAGATTTTCCCATCGATTGATTGGGCCGAAGTGCTCAATCTTAGGTTGACATGTCGGCTTCTTGTGCAGATGCTTCGATGATATCTGGGCATGTAATTAGAATTTTATTTGGTGGATGATGACTAGCAGTGGAATCCAGGATGCTTAGGCGTTTGAAATTATGGACACAAGGTTCGAGCCTCGGTGGGAACATCATCACTCACTGCGGAATGTACGTACATACAACAAGTTGATGAGTGTCAAATAGGATGAAATGCGCATCCTGGTGGATTCCACTGCTAGTCATCATCCACCAACGTGGATTATAATTCTGAATACATGTGATATTGGTAGCCCAAATTTTGCAGCCCGACCACTGATGATATCAAGTGTATGTCAGCAAGGGATGGAACCCCGAACTATGTGCATGGTCGACGAGAGTCCTAACAAACAAACACGGGCAGTAATTCTTCTCGAAATATTACCAAAAACCGAAAACTTATCATTGTGTGTAAACTATTGAAACAAAAAGTTATACTTTATTCAAATAACAACACTATCCAGCTATATTAATTTAAAACTACACAATTCACACACACAACTTACTCGACTTGGATTAGCCAAATGCTCTTCAATAGTTTTCCGTGGTGGTTGAGTTAAACAATCTTTAGCATCACGAATATAATAAAATAGTTCATACAGAAACTGAAATACACAATGGTGGAGGTGACGAAAGGGAGGGGGAGGGGCGGAAACAAACAAACAATAAGGTTTTTTATTAAAGTGATTAGTGTTCATTTCATAGATATCAACAAAATAATAAAGAAAACGTAATTCAATTGAAGTGTGTAGTGCATAATTGCGCAGTACATTAATCTCTTTCAACATGATTGGCTGGCTCAAGGTCATTGAGCCGCTCGTTCAGTTGGGGGTATATTACGGTTTAGATTTCCCACTCCCCTTCTTTGTTCAGCATCCTATAGCTCACATGTTATACTATTCACCACATAATTTCCCTGAATGCAACATTTGAGTGAGTAGTTTTTAACGTTCTTCATCTTTATAACAGCCACAGCATTCTTTTAATTGAAACAGTTAAGTATTGGGACAGCAGTTTCGTACTAATAAGGGACTCTGGCAGTCTTCCATCAACAGCTGCCCCCTTCGCTGGCTCCATAATGAAGATCAAATGGCCAGAAAGAATAAGTAACAAGAAACTCTAGAGTGGAACAAACCAACCAAGAGCCGATCGCTCAACGAATATGTAAGAGAAAGTGGAGATGGATCAGACATACATTGAGGAGGCCGCCAAATGACAACGCACGCAATGCAGGCTATCGCTCAAGTGGAATCCAAATGGGAAGCAAAGAGTGGGCCGTCAATGCAAGGGTGACATGGAGGTGATCGTGTGAGGAAGAGATGAGAGAGTTTGGTCAATCGTGGACCCAGCTGAAGAGGACGGCAGAAAACAGGACAAAGTAGAGATGTGTTGTTGAAGCCGTATGTTCCACTCGAAACGCAAGGCAATAATAATAATAACGTAATAGACGGGCTCTTCGTCAGTAAGCACCCATCTGAGGTCGAACTCAGGACCCTCCGGTTACAAGGCGAGTTTGTAGAACACTCAGCCGCCACTGGGACCCAATTCAATGACCAGGCCATGTAATGCCAACTTCTGCGATATCTGCATAGCGCAACCGCTAACCAATGTTATAGGCGAGTAACTCATCTTTTACCTGAGACATGGTAGACTCCAATGGCTGAGTACTGTTCAAGAAAGCTGAACTAGGATGAAAAAGCTGTCCAGTACTCCTTGATGGTTTTCCAGTGCTTCTCTGCCTTATGCCAACTCATGATAACACGAACCTGCAACCAACTAACCCACTAGATAATTATTTATCAGCACACAAATCAAATATCATTCAAATACCATGTCACCTGTAGCTGTCATTGGTTGTTACTATTGTCGTGTCTGATGTTTTTGTCACCTTATGTTCCCGCGAATGTGTGACACTCATTAATGAAAATTTGACTTCACACGACATTAATACTGTTCAGTGTGTTTCTGTCTTCGTTTAAAAGACAGCTGAGTTTGTAGTTATTGCTTTTATTTCATTGTAATATATTTCTGTATTTCAGAAGCAGATAAAGTTTTTGCAGATACACTACCTGCAGTTAAACTATACATTTGAGCTCAGAAGCTAGATTGTTAGTGTTGTACTAAGATTCATTTTTGACATTCCTATCTAGCGGAACATGATGCTTCAAGCTCTTTTGAAGTTTCACTAACGATATTGTCGTCTTTACTAGGAGGGTAACGCAGTTCCCCGGGTGCCCTGGCAAAGAATCGAAACCGAACCTACTGCGAGACAAGCAACAACAGGTCGTGATCGGTAGGGTGCAGTAGGTTGGGTAAAAAGACAAATACTCGCCGAAGACATTGGCTAGCGGTCATGCTATGTCGTGAATTAGTAGATGTTAGAATTCATGGACTTTTCATTGGATCAGGTCCCAGTGGCTTAGTGGTCTACGAGCATGCCTTATAATAAGAAGTCCCTGGATTCGAACCCCTATGGATGCGTACTGATGAAGAGTTTCAAACGAGGCTGACGAAACAGCTGTTCAATACTCCCAGGTTTCCCAATGTCTCTATAACTAATCGAAGTATAGCAACTTGAAATATGCGCTAGGGTTTATAGGGAACAATCAGTTACATTGCGAAAGTCACGAGGAGAGGATAACTATTCCGTCCACATAGCGAATTCTCAAAGCGCACTTCATCACACTAAAGGCGTCGAGTGGAGAGACTCGTCAATGAGTTAGTCACTCACATCCTTATACTGAATTCTAAGTAAAGATTTACCAATCAAATCATAACCGATAACAAGATTATTACTATTATTATTGAAAGAAACTTGGTGCATTATGAGCAGCAAGAGATTCGATACAAAAAATCTTATAGTTAGTGCGAAGGCAGAGATATTGCTCAGACCCTCAGAGCGAAACAGGTGGTTACTTTAAGGAGCTACCTACCGGGCCTTTGACTTCAAGTCTGATCCATATAAGAGCAGAGCAGCATCAGGAGCTACGCCACCACGGTTCTCAATAACCAAAACAGGTTTATACACTATTTCATCCTAACAAATTCTGGAATCAGTGTTTTCCAGCTCTCCTAGGTAAACCTGCATGCCCACCAGTCCATAAGTAGGCACCTCAACGTTCGCATCCGCCCTCTCACTTATGTGATGAACACTCCCAACGATGGCGTAAAGGCAGTGAATAAGACTTGCCTGACATATGCTATGAGGGAATTTCAAGATTCTATCTCCCTCAGTCGTACTGACTAACTACCTATGCGCAGAAGTACAGCAGTTCGAAATTCTGCACTCCATGGAGCACACAAAGGAACACAAAAGAGAAAAGAATATTCGAAGGGACGATAACAAGCAAAAATATGAGCACAAAAGAATAGTAACATGGAAGAACAATAGAGTTTCGTTGGATATGAAAAATCACCAGCAGTGAATGAATGCATCTCCACCAGCCGTTGACAACGACTTCCAGCTATATCACCAGTTGTCTCCAGCCTTCATTGGTTCTTACCATCCTGAGGACCCCAACCAGCCAGCCAGGAAATCTACACATCCCTTCGTGACTGACTAGCTGGCTGAAAGTAACTGTTATGGATTTCATTGACTGATGAAACCATATTTTCATTTGACAACCACTAGCTCATTTCCAACTTGATCCATCCTATGTCAGCTAACATTATCCGTCCAGAAAGGTAATCGATAGCTAGGCATACATGAATAAAACATGTCCTAACAATCTCAATCAATGCAACTGCTTCACAACCTCGTCGACTGGTTTTCCTTATCTAGCCTACCACTAGTCCGAAGCCTCACTTCAATATTATTCACCCTATTAAACCTACGACCAAACACGGGAGATAAAAGACAGACATCTATGATCAAAGACAGCTAGTCAGGCTTTTCATTTATTCCACCTTCCAATGGCCATATCTCACAGGCATAAAGGAGGATGCAGAGAACTGCTGAGCAATGCACACGTCGTTTGATCAATAGTCAGCTGAATATCACGTCTACCAAGTCAGAGATGACGTAATTTGGCAAACGACACATGAGCCTTCTGTATCCATGCTGAGATTCCGTCAGCAATCTGCCTTTAGGAGTCGATGCGGTCAAAACTAAATCATTTATAGGAGCAACATATAAAAGTTACGAGTTAAATCATTATTATCACATTATTGTTACACATAAGGAACTTACTGTACGACTTTGCAGAATATCATCCAAACTTGCAGTGTTTTTTGCTGATTGTATAATTTCAAGACATTTCGTAGTATGATTTAAACAATCCTGAATCTGTGTTCACACGTCCAAACAACAGTAACACGAACAGAAAAAGGGGGAGAAAATCGATGAAAGCCTTATAAAAAGGTTTATATGTATACAATCAGCAATAATGGAGTGATACTGGGATTATTGCTTTTCAATCAGTCAGTCAGTCATTTGCAAATCATACAGTTCAATATGAGAAAAATCACCATAGTTTCGCTATGAAAACCAACCATTACAGTTTGACGTGACTGAGTGGTGCCCAACCATTCAACCCAATCAATCAGTCAAGCAGATCACATATTGTAATCTGAATACTTTTGATTTTATCAAAGAAAACCAATGTTATCTGTTTTGTTTTATTTTGTTTTACTTCGGCTGTCTCCTACGGGAGGATGAGCCGGCTTCATGAACATCTCGAATCATCGCTGCCCTGGCGCGGCGATCTGATGCAAGGTTTTGCGACAGGGTTGTCCAATTCTTGTTCCACAGACGGAGTCCGTAGGAGAGTTCATGAAGTTTCATGGGAATTTGGTACGAGTGATGTCCCCAGAATCGCTCGGCCTTTTGTTTGAGAGTGCAGCTCTAGCCTTTACACAACCAAGTGTGACCTACAAGGCAGTAGGAGTGGAGTAGGGAGTCCACTATCCATTGGCAGCCGGTGACCGGAGTTCGGTTCATACGCCTTTTTGAATGGGGCCAGACATCCAGGACATCCAACAAGCCCTTTGTCCATACGTCTGTCGGTGAGCTCCAGTGAGCTTCATACGCCAGTCGTTGGAGGTTTGGAATCAGGGTTTAGCCATCTCCCCTAGACTGTCATCCAATGGACAGTCAACCCGGTGAAGAGCGCCGGGCATCTGCTTTCGCCCTCTCAATTTGGTGAAAAACACCTCCGCCACGTGAAGGCAGTGAGTAGGACTTCCTCAGGAGAGGCTATGTAAGGCGCCCGGTCATATGGGAGCATTTCAAGAGGTGTGTGGAGGGGTGGCCGACCCGCAGCGCAAGGCACCCACCCCCGACCATCCTGAGGCTTTGGAGGCTTATCATGAACTAGGAAATCGGCTAATAACGAATTTACTTCGTTCGCCTAAATTGCCAACCAGGATTTGGACGGTTTAAACTGATTTTGGCTCTCTAAATTGAGTCCAACCTCACTCTGAATCGTGGAAAAAAAACCCATCAAGATATTATAGAGAAAAGAACAAGAAGTTCAACAAAGACAACTATCTACTGGGTAATTTCATTCTCAAAAGGAACTGAACAATCGCATTTATACATACATAAGTCTAAATAGACACAATTATTATTTTCAAGTGTTGGTTTGTAGGGATTTGATCGATTGGTTACAGGATTTTCATCATGAGCTGACATCAGTTAGAGAACCATTGGAAAACCACTTGGGAGTACTGGACAGCTGAATTCATGAGCCATTGGATCGGGTCCCAGTGGCCTAATGGTATACGAACTCGCCTTGTAACCAGAAGGTCCTGGGTTCGAATCCCGGTGGGTGTGTACTGATGAAGAGTCCCAAACGAGGACGAAACAGCTGTCCAGTACTCCAGTGCTGGTTTTCCAATGGTTCTCTAACTAATGTCAGCTCACAATTATTATTTATTTACTAAACGAAGAATACTCTTTCCGATAACTTCATCATCAGGTTCTACAGTTATATATACATAATAGTAGTGAATGAATGAATTAGTGTCATGAACAACATTAATGCTGTTTAAATAACAGAATCAATAATATCAATATATTATGTAGTAACGAAGGTGATTAGAAGTGATGATAATAATCTTCAACTTGATCACTAGAGTAAGGCATGTCTACGCCAATTCTATCGATAAAGAGCAAAGACTTGTATTCTTTACTTCACTTATACTGTGGTGAGAGCAGTCTGCGAACAAGCCAAAATTGTAGACAACAATTGACGTCAATGTTTACGTCCAGAATCGGGGTCATGAGAGAAAACAACAACAAAGCTTAACCTTGAGGAACTACTCAGCAACTAATCACAGCAGACTTAACGTGTGCAAATACGATTCGAAGATATATGGCTTAACTTTCTAAGAAACGGCCACAAAAAGATAAGAGAATAGCCTTCAGCAAGAAAACAACTAATCAGTAGAGGTTGCTTCCCGTTAATAATAACTCTAATAATAATGTACATAAAAATCTATAAATATATGTTGATTTTCTGAATAAAGGATTTGTTGCCTGGTCCTTTATTTCTGTCGTTACAATTTTACCAGCGAGATTGATTACCACGTCGAACCTTGTACCACAAACTAACTACCTAACTTGTCAGAAAGATATGCATTCCTATATTTATAGAAAAAGGGTAAAACAAATAAAAAATGTTTAAAAAAATAATTTGCCCTACTTGTTGTAATTTATACGGTGATCCATGATTATCTTTTATGATAGAATGATATGGTGTTGAAGTATTTGTACGATGAACTCTTATATCCTGTTGTGAAAAAAGGAAAAAAAGAGGAGGAGCAGTGAGAAACAAAGTGATTATTAAAGCAATATTCCATCTGAGCTACTACATTAAGAAGCGAAAACAATCTGGAATCATTCAACCTACGCTTTTACAATTTGTTAACTCATGTATCCTATTACCTATAAGACACAAAATAATTGAGCAAAGAATATTCTTTTCGATAAATTCCTCTTCCAGGCTCTACAATTATAAATATGTTTATATACACAGAATATTTTTAATTAGTAGTTAATAACAATAATAGAGAAGATAATAACAATAACAATATTAGCGTTTTTTTAAATAATATCGATTTGTAAAGTATGATCACAATGGAATTACAGTTCATTAAAGATGCTTAAATTATAATAATAATAAAAATATAACAGCGAATAGAATATCAACTAGAATTAGGGAAATTTCACAAAAATTCTGGATTATTCAAACCTGGATGGCCAAGGTAATGATAATGACTGAACTAACTTCTTTTGGGTGCATAAATTAGGCTTATTAATATGAATCCCCACAGCCTCAGCAATATTTAGAAGCCGAACTCTCAAAGCGAAATTGAGATTCACATATATGCGGTAAATGACCCTGAGGCTGTGGGGATTCATATTTAATAAGCCTAATTTATGTGTCCGAAAGAAGCTAGTTCAGACACTGTCGTTACCTTGGCCATCTAGGTTTGAATAATCCAGAATTTTTGTGAAATTTCCCTAATTTTAGTTGATATTCTATTCGCTATTATATCTTCATTATTATTATTATAATTTAAGCATCTTTAATGAACTGTAATAGCATTGACCATACTTTACAAATCGATATTATTTAAAAAACGCTAATATTGTTATTAACTACTAATTTAAAATATTCTGTGTATATAAACATATTTATAATTGTAGAGCCTGGAAGAGGAATTTATCGAAAAGAATATTCTTTGCTCGATTATTTTGTGTTTTATACATGTCTGAATGAATATTTTTGTTATTACCTATTGTACTTTACTGCTGCTCCCCACCTTTAGTTTATTCTGGTCTACTGAAAAAGGACCATGTCAATTTGAGAAGGGTATTCATGGTTGTAGGTCAATAGGGTAAGTGATGTGCGACTTAGTCAGGCAGCTTGTTAATACATTAGTTGATAGACATTTAATCTCATACGAGAAATTGCCTAAATCTATACTGTCTGACCCTGAACATCCACTCCCTTGATTCTCAATTCTCCGCTTGTATCTCATCTGGTAGAACTAGAAATCAATACAAAATGTGACATGCTCAGTCATACTGTGGTGAGAGCTGGCTGCTAGCCAAAGTTGGTAGACAGTAATTGACGTCAATGTTTATGTCCTGAATATTGGTGGTGAGAAAATGAGAACAAAGGCTTTGCGTAGACGGATGCAGTTAGCATATGGATGATCTGACACAGCCATAAAGAGATGCAAGGTTAACTTTGTGTGAGAAACAACCAATCAAAAGACTGTATTTTCTACTAACAATAATCTAAAACGATGTACATTAAAATCTATAAATATATGTTTATTTTCCTTAATAAAGAATCTGTTGCCTGGCCCTTGTCTTCTGTTGTTACAATACTACCAAGTATAGGAACTCAACGATACTATATTTGGCAAGTCCGTGTTCTATGTGATAGAGACAATGTAAAGCGTGAAACTTATGAATTACTATGTTGTTGGCTAAATAATTGACTCTTTTATTATCTCCTATTTGTAACCTATGGTGACACTATCTCAATTAAACTGACAATCTTAGCTGCTAACCCTATTAGGGTTTGTATATATATATATTTATGGCTTCACTGTCACTACAAATACCAAATAAGAACTCCCATTAACAATCCTGTAATATTATCTTTATAATTTTCATCAGTTGGTTTGCATTGGACGGAGTTTCCTAGAATTCTAGTGAGAAGTCATGACCAGAGTGAGGTCTATCCAGTCGAATAAATGTGAGGATGGAGTTCCCACTGATGATATTGGTTGGTGCCAGTCGCGCTAAATGCATCATGAATTGGTAGGAGTTAGAATTCATGGTCTGGCCATTGAATTTCAGTGGCTGAATGGTATGCAAGCTAGCTTGTATAGCTAACGTTAGAATGATTGACCCAGAGAAGATGAATAATTTAGATAAAAACTCAGCACTACACTGCACTGCATGTATTATCACACAATCACACAATAGGTTGGGTGGGAGAGAGTTAAAATTCTAAAAAGTAATCTATGCAGGTGGAGATAGAGAGAGACTGATTACTGAATCCTGCCTGGTTCATCGAGTCTACACCCAACACAACACATGCAACAGAAATGATTCAATGCAAATACCAGAGATACGTATGGAAGATATTATTACCACCACTCAGTCGAATCAGAGGAGGATAATAAATAATGTTAAAATGTATTCAATTCACATACATTATAACATACTAACAAGTTATTTATTTTATTTTACTATAAAAACATCATATTTCCCATCTCATTGTATTTAATTGATAACACTCATATTATTATTTCTGAATGTACTTTATCATCGTATATTGATTTTATTCAAATGTCTAATCATCAATTCCACTGATGTATATAAATGAAGGAAAAAGTTGTGTGAGTAGTGTCTTGATATGATTATGAGCAGCAATAAAATTGTGCTCGAAACGTGGTCATCAGTAAATATTGCTGTACAACCCTGTGTGATTTCTCAATATAAAATCTTATCCATAATGGGGTGCCTATAGCGGAGTCACTACTACATTTCTGCAGCCGTGTGGGATAGTATTCTTCAACTCTTTTACACAGGATACTTACTGAACAATCAATGTACCTGGCTGGCTCCAAAGCAACAGGTGAACTGATATATATATATATATATATATATATATATATATATTAGATGCGATATTTTGTCCTTAAGGCTTCTGGAGACCAATGAACAACTGGAGAACACTACTCCCACAGCGTTGCTGTGAAGAATGTTCTCCTTAAAGATGATGAAATTCTTTTCATATGGATATTGCAGGTCAAGTTTCCCTTGAAATCCAGATTCAGCGAAAGTAATGTTTTATCCCTTTGAACTTAAGGTTTGATATTTTTGTCGATGAATCTCGGTGAGTATCCATTTTGCATGACGGTAGCTTTCAGAAGATCTAGTTCTGCTTCTAGGACATCAGGACTACAGATGAGTAGAATGCTAATAATACACCTTGGTTTCATTCTTTGCATTCTATGTGGAAAATAGGAGTACAAGATGTGTTGTAAATGAATGTGAACATTGAACGTTGGTTCATTGGCCATTGGCGGGCAACTCGAAGGCGCGAATGATTCAATGGTGTACAAGTTGAAAGAAGATGAAAGAATACGAATAAAAGTACAACACATTCCTTGCAAAACATTTGTTTATAGACTTTGTACAGAGTATTGACTTTAACTGTCGAACAATACAACTTCTTCTTGGTATTTGTGTTTTGGAATTAAGGTCAATTTCGTACTCAGTAGTTGTCGGTTCGAGCGTCTTTGGAGATAATACGAACTTAGGGTTAAGTTCCTTGACATCTTTTTTGAAATTTTCACTAGCGGTGGTGGTATTTTGTGGCGAGTGCTACTGATAACATTTATCAGTAGTATATAAAGAGACGTTGAATGGCATAAAAACATCAAATAGCACGCAGATGCATTTGACATCAGAAAAGGCAGATGATACAGTGTTGTGCAGATACATGAGAGATGTGAAAGGAACACAAAGAAACACACATAATATGAAGGAAGGTCAGAAGTAGCACAACACGAAGGTCTGTGCAAATGGTGCGTTGAGAATAAGGTGTACATAATTTGGCTATATAGATATGCAAAATTCCAAATAAACTTTCCTCCACCAAGTCTTTTATCTTCTACCGTTTCAGCTGTACCAGGCTAGCACACACCTTTTTTCTTTCCTGAGACAGACAACTTAAAAGAATCGACAACTAATAAGCGACTAATAGGCAACGAAATAAAAGATGGTACCACTTTATTCTGTAAAAACTATACTTCTTGCTTTGTTCAAATAATATATAAAGTTAACTGGTTCATTAATAAGCATATAAAAGGTAATATCTTACAGCTTCATAAACTAAATCTCCATAGAGAGCAAGAACAGCACTGATATGAGCTAACGAACTGGAAAAAGTAAAAGAGAGAAGGAGACAGAAAAGAGATGAGTTAATAAAAACGAACCATTATAATAATAATAAATATTATTTAAATAAGATGTACAATGCATGTTAATGAATGTATATGCGAAGAGTGATAATATTTATTCATTCAGTGTGTGTGTGTGTGATTAGACAAAGAGTCATCAGTTCGATCGAGACTTACATGTGGATATTGAATGACAAATTTGATTGAAAAAAATGTCAGTCTTTACCATTCTATACAAAGTGACAACTCAGTCCTCTAAGGTTTGTACGTCTTTGTTTGTTAAGGATTGCTGAGATAGCAGGCTAAGTGATATTTTGATATAGAACTTCGCAACCGCGGGAAAACTGGTCTACTAATCTACGTAAGCGCATTTCGGTTTAGCTAATGATATTTGTATTAGTTGAACATTCATGAAGCAATTTGTTTTGGTCTATAGGTTAGGGTGTGCGTCGGTGGCACAGCCCGTAGAATACTCGCCAAACACGCCTCACGTGGCTCGGGGTTCGATCTCCGGCCACCGACGCACTCCTTTACCTTTATCCGCCCAAGTGACTTCATGGTCAACGACTTTTGGATCTTGTCACCTGAAGGTCTAGGGTTTCACAATCACCGATAAGGTCGGTGGCACAGAGGTTAGGACGCTCGCCGACCATGAATATGGCCCAAGGTTCGATCCCCAGCCGGCGAAATCCTTTACCTCGCTAAGCCAGAACTAATGCTGGTGAAGAGGAAAGGTTGGGCATGAGGCTAGCGACTCCATCCTGTAAAAATAAATACTTCTACAGAAACTTCAAGTCTCTAGCTTGAAGCCCTATGTTCCACTGGGAACTTGAAGGAATTGGATCGGGTCCCAGTGGCTCAATGGTCTACGAGCTCGCCTTGTAACCAGAAGGCCCTGGGTTCGAATCCCGGTGGGCGCGTACTGCTGAAGAATCCCCAAACTAGGATGAAACAGCTGTCCAGTACTCCCAGGTTTTCCAGTGGTTCTCTAACTGATGTCGGCTCATGATGAAATCCTGCATGCAATTAAACAAAATCCCTACCAAACCAATACTTGAATATGATTATCATTATATGTGATGAAATTACTTTAGAGTTATGCAATGTGATTGGTACACAAACATAGAAGGCCCAAGCACAAATCTACGTGGAAAACAAAACAAATAAACATGCATATTATGGCAGTGAATCCAGGTTAATGTTACAGCAATTCATAGTAACAGGTATTACATAAGTAATGCGTCAATGATAGAATGATCCAACAATGAATGAACGAAGATGGATATTAAACGAAGACAAATAATGTTAGTGAACACACACACACACACACACAAATGAGTATATTTCATCAATGACATATGAATGAGAAGAAGTGAAATAGCAGTATGAAGTGGGACTAAGATACAGCAAGTATAAAAATCAACCAATCATGCAAATCTACTTGGATATATCTCAACACAGTGAAACAGTCTTATTTAATGCTTGACACAATCAATCAATCAATGAATCAATAGAATATAAAATATAACCACTTGCTGAAAGCACTTCACATCTCAAGACACTTCTTCGCCATTAACTAATCCACTGACAGCGGATCAGGAAACGTCGAAGGAAGCGTGCTGTGCCATTCCAGAAATCGGTTGAACACCTCTCAATATATAACGCCTTTCCTGAACTTTAGATGTGGTTAGATAAGGCACATATTTGACACCAGTAATTTCGAGTCTCAGACATCTGAGTGTTTGTCAATTATAATGTGTCACCAAAATTCAGCAGTCAAAATATTTGAGAATGATGGAAACTGCTCAAAAGTTTAATTATTTTTTAGGCGATATTCATGTCATTCGATCACGACTCTTACGGTTTCAGATATTTCATCACCAACCCAGTCCTACTCAACGCTTTTCTGATTAGATGGACGAACTCTGAAATTACTCTGCAACTTAGATAAGCGGCATTCATTCGACATCTACTGTAATGTTCATCTCAAAGAGCAGGCTTCTTGGAAATACACGTAATTTATTATTCATAATCATTTCATCAGTTGTAACTACACAGCTACAAGACTCGGTGTTCCACCTTGTTATCGTTCATTTTTTGCATTTATCGTGAAGGTAGTAGAATGTTTCAGGAGCAGTATTCAATCATTCTTGTAGCACATATTCTCGGGTGATTCAACGAAAAGAACTTCAGTTGTCGATCTACTGCCCCCCACCCTGTTACATTATGCTTTAAGACTGACATCTTGTTCTATCCTGTCATACATTCGTGTGTAACTACGGAGACATGGATGCTATCACGATGTATTGACTGACTACGAGTTTCCAACGAATGGTTATCAATAATTTAATTGAATTTTAGGTTTTCCCGTCGATTGATTGGACCGAATTGCTCGGTCTCAAGTTGACATGAGAGTGAGAGAGAGAAAAAACAGAGAGACAAATTGTGAAGTCATGTGACCAAAATGATACAACTGTGAGCAGTAATTTGTGCTCGACACTTTGTCATCCAGTTATTAATACTACATCATCACTGTATGTGATATTTTACAATAAACTTATCTAATATAGAACTAAAGGGATTCATCCAATGAAGCACTACATATACAGGACTCCCATCAATCTGTTTGAATCAATACATTTATCGGCTGATAACCGTCTGGATTATTATGCCGTAGGCAAACAAATTCAGAGATCTAATTATCTTACGGAAGCTGTTACAGTTAGTTGTGTAAACTGGTAGTTTGCTGGAGCGCTCAACGTGACTAGTATAGAAGAAACTAGACATTGTTCGCAGGTAGTCTAAAAGATAATACCACATTAGTTTGTTTATTAGATGCATCACACAGTGAGTGAAACAGTATTATTGATTACTGGATGACAAGGTTTCGAAGACAATTTATTGTGGTTCATAATCGTCTCATCAATTATAATCACACGACTTCGAAACTTGAGTTTTATAGTTTCCTTTGTCCTCTGCTATTTGTCGTCGTAGGGGTGGTAGTAGAATTTTCCAGGTATCTGTGTGGACGGGTGTTGAATCATTCCTATTACACGTATTATATCTCAGTTGCTTCGATAAACAAAGCTCCTGTTATCAATCTCTCCCTCCACCTTGCGGTTACATTAGATTTTAAAAGTGTCATCTTATCCCATCCTCCTATTCTATGGTTGTGTGTGATTACATGTAGTGAGTAGTATAGCTGAACTATTCTCTAGATTTCTTCTCTTATTCGGGTCAGCTAATTTAGATTTTCCTAGGTTTTTACGTTCGGTCTTTAAAACAAAACTATTTAGTTTATCTAACAACCTGTAAATGATGATTGTCAGGTCAAATACATAGGCCAAAATAGTAGAACAGAGGCAGTCAGACTACCCGAGCATAAAAACCTGGCAGCAAAATCTAGATTGGTTGACCCTAATAAGATAATAAATCTAGAGAATAGTTCAGGTATACAACCCACTACATGCAATTACACACATCCATACAAAAGGATGGGATAATATGACAGTTTTAAAATCTAATGTAACGGGGTGGAGGGAGAGATGGATAACAGCTTTGTCTATCGAATCAACTGCAAATACGTGTAGTAGGAATGATTCAACACTTGTCCTGCTGGACATCTGGACAATTCAACTACTCCAACGACGACAGATAGGAGAGAAAAAAGAAAACTATAAAAGTCAAGTTTCGAAGTCATGTGACTATAATTGATGAAATGATTCTGAACCGCAATAAATTTTGTTCGAAACCTTGTCGTCCAGTAATCAATAATACTGTTTCACTCACTGTGTGGTGATACATCTAATAAACAAACTTATATGGAATTTACTTACTACCACAGTGTCCAAGTTTTATACACACATATATTAGTTTAAAAGATAGTTGCAAACTCTGTTTTATGTTAAGAAAAATAAGTCTCAGCACAGCAAGCGATATATGTACACATTCAATCTACGAAACGAGATCCAATTATTCATGCATTAGAAAAAAAATAAATAAATAAATAAAACTCAACTAGTGAGTAAGACGATTGACAAACTACACACACATATAAACCAAAAAGATGAAAGCAGTAAAAAAACAAACTTACACACAACTAGAAATGAAAATATCACAGTGATTAAAAAAACTGAGTTAATTCATTCCTCTTCTAAAATATCAGTGAATATTATCATTCGAAATGACGAGGAAAACAATGAAAAATCGTGAAATGTTTTGATTGGACACTAGTTAGTAACTAGTGTAATGCGTGTCTAGTCCTTTGTCGTTTGGTGCAGATTGAATTCTATCAGTCAGTCAGGTTTGCAATGTGGCCACCATGCCACTAGGTAGCTCGCTATCACAGTGCACATTGATTTGATGATATTAGATGATGGTTGGAGGTAATCGGTTACAGGAAGCCTTGCCTGACCTAGGTTTCGTGCTAGTTGGCACTCACCAGTCAGTCAGCAAGGAGTATCTGCAACTACCTTGAAGGAACTCATGTCCCTTCTGAGATTTGAAACCGCGTCACTCAGTGAGAACTGCAGTCAGAGATGTTACCACTGAGCTATTCAGTGGTCTGCACCAAAGAAAGGATCAGCACATTACAGTGTTACAGGAGGTCAATCGCGAGCCTGAATAGCTCAGTGGTGGTAACGTCTCTGACTGCAGTACTCACTGAGTGACGCGGGTTCGAATCTCAGAAGGGACATGAGCTCCTTCAAGGCAGTTGCAGATACTCCTTGCTGACTGACTGGTGTGTGTCGGCTTCCTGTGGCCGATTACCTTCAGCCATCTAATATAGTAAAATGTTATTTAACAACTAGCTGGCTAAGGATGCTGCTAACTAGCCAGCTGTCTGAACCTCAAGAAGTAGTAAAGCAGCGCTCGAAGCAATGACCCGAACGTTGGAAATTAACCTCATCATCTCCCTGCACCGCAGTGAGTTAAAGTTCTATTAGATTTTCTATGCACTGGGGGAAGTAAGACAAACTCGATGTGACATAGCTAATGATACTGGAATCTGTGACTCATTATAAGAAAGCAGTATTCCAGCCAAGCTACATCTTTAAGACAATACATTCAATTCTTATCATTTTCCAAATTATCAATACTTTCACCAACATGACTATGATTACTATTCACTTGCCCACTAGCACACACACAATGAGTCAGAATCGCTTATTGAGATACCAGTGTTAATCCCGGCGTTATTTTTTCGTGAACTGTTTCTGTTAGTAAAAACAGTTATATCTTGATTCATTGGTTAATTGGTCAATCAGCCGAACAATGAAATAGTCAGAATGTCAAATATATGGTTGATAAACAAAACGATAAGAAGTAAACCAAATCGAATTTTCAGTGTAGAACCTTGCCCAAAATTGAAGCAGTTCAATTTGACACGCTGCGCAAAATTACTGGGGAAGCGAAAAATTCAAAAGAACCATAATGCATATGAATGTACTAGAGAAAGAGTAACTACATGGAGGGCAATAAGAACTCAATGGATCCGGGAGTTCATAGACAATGAATGTATCTGATCTCCCATGTGAGGTGGTGTATTAGGGTGAGTAATATTCAGGTTAGGTACCGGTCAAGTGCTAGGAAAGGAAGGAAAATCAATAGACGAGGTAGTAAAGTTAAATCGATTAAGATGGTTAAGACATGCATTACATATTCTTAGCTATCGATCGCCTTCCTCGACAACAGCCAATGTTAGCTGACATATCTGGCGGATCAAGTTGGAAAAGAGTTAGCTAGTGGTGGTCAAACCAAAACATGGCTTCGTCAATCAATGAAATTCAAAACAGTTTGGTTTAAGCCAGCCACGTAGGCAGGTGTAGAGTTCCTACTGGTTGGTGTCCTCAGGACGGTAAAAACCAAAGATGACTAGAGACAATCGGTGATATGGTTGAAAATCCTGCTTGTCAATGGCTGGTGCAGGTGCATTCACTCTTTGTGATTTATAATATCCAATAAGCGTCTATTGTTCTTCCATATTACTACTATTCTCTATCCCTCACTCAAACTTTTGTTCATTCTCTCTCTCTTCTCTAGCTTTGTGTGGTACATCGAGGGAGTGTGGCAACTTGAACTGCTGCAGATCTGTGCACAGTTCTACGCTGAAAGCAGTAAGTCA